TTAGTGCTTAATTTTTTAATCATTTTTTTTGTCATTCATCAGAATTTTGGGCGTTGTACGACTTGGGAGGGGCATTGTGCACTCTCGGTTTGTTCGCGTCGAGCCATCAGAAAGATGTGGAACCCTGTGGAACCATGAAGTGATGTCAGTCAAATTTCGTAGAAAACTTCGTTGTTCTCGTGAGACAAGTTTCATGTCTAGTAAACCAGTGAAAGCGACGAGTGTGGGAAGCAAGCGAAAGTGCGAAGTGCCCCCGCCCACAGAGCCGAAGTGGCGGCCGAATGTCTGGTGTGTAAAAATGTCGATTAAACAGCGCTTTTCCTGGCGAGGAAGACTTTTGAGGCTTCATATAATAAAGTTGGAAACTTCTCGACCTCAGCAAGCCATATTGAGCTTTGAGAAAGGCAGCTCTTCAGGGAATGATTGGGCATTCTCTTTACTTCCAGTTCCCAATTCTCATTGTGGTCCAGAGGTTTTTCTAACTGGAGAACTTTGGAATAATCTGAAAAATTCCGAGAGATTCATGGGAATTTCTTTTGATACTTTGCTTTGGCAGCTGTCCTAGTCAGATTAGTTTTCTTAACTCTCCTCTACCGGCTCACTCCAATTTTTCCAAGACTTCTGCCTTCTCCCAAACTTCTTCTTCCACAATTTCCTCCCGTCTATTTTCTCGCAGTAAGGAAAGGGTATTCTGCCGCTTCTTGATGGTTCTTTTGGAAGAGGCACGCAATGCGGCTTCTAATAGAATCGTCGTGTTATCTTTCAAAAGCGCTCAAAAATGTCTTGCGTTCGGCCAACAGATGTGCAAGAACGAGTGCTTTTTATACTCCCGCACGTGCTCAGCCACCAACAGCCGATCCTGACGGGATTGAAGGGTCAGCTGGTCGGGGGGAGGGAAGCCGTTCCTCAGTCCACAGAGAACTCCTGCGTCTGCGCGTAGTGAGAGGCACCATTTACCTCATTTCCCTTCACTAGTGCTTACTCGGATCAATTCAATGAACATAATTGTGCAAAATCTGCTTCAGAAGTTGTGAGCTAGGAACGTTAAGGCAGCGCTCTGACTTCGCGACAACATCAGCGCCTAGGTCGTGCGTTTTCGACTCGACCGACGCTGTTGACGTCGAAGCGCTGCCGTCGCGAAGTCTGAACGCTGCCTAAGGTACAAGGTTGCTCAAGTGCTTCTACCCGCGTTGCTAGTTGTCTATCCGTCGTCTTGCTCCTTTACATACTCTATCGCTGCTCTTTTCTGGTCTCTCGCACATAATTTCCACCGATCCTCTACCTCTTGCTTGGAAGAAGAACCTCTTATTTGACCCGCTTTCTACGATCTCCTCTCTGTTTTCTTCCATGGATCAGTCGATAGCGATATATTTTCGCTTTCCAACCCCTCTTACCTAGAAATCTTTTCGACGGTTTTATCGCGAAATTTGTTTTGCAGTCTATAAAAATATGCATTGGCTCTTGCATTTTGTTCGGGCCTGCTCCTCAAAGCGTAAAAGAAGCTGTAGGACATGCATCAGGCTTGAGTGGGTCACCCAGCCATCGTCGTCGTATTATAAATTTTTGTTAAACTGAATTTGTGCTTCGGTCCAGTATTGCCCCAGTTCACAGACGCGCAGCCATGCATTCTGCCGTCACCCTCATATACGATGCTGTTGAGTGAGTGGGTGGTGTCTTCATCATTACTGACTCTTCACTATACGTTTGCGAGATTCTTGATATCGCTCGCCTTTTTCTGAGCTTCCGTAAAGTTGTTCTTGGGGCAAGTTTCGGACGACGAGGGGGGGGGGGGGGGGATTTTGCACTTTTGCTAATTCCCATCGTTCGACCCATCTAGAGAGCCACTTCGTGAGCTTACACGAGTTATAGGTTCTACCACGGTGGCTAGACGATTTTGCTCCACATTCACAAGAGTTTCCAGGTTTGACCCGAGTGAAATATACAAACCGGAACTAGTAGAGCAGCAGAAGTGCGAATTCCCCTCCACCCGCCGCCGAGCTGGTCTGTTTTCCTTGAAGGATTAAGGTTTTCATATTCTTTATTGCTAATGAGCTTGAAGCAGGGACGTTCGCAAGTTTTTCATCCGCTCTGTAGCCATTTTCTGCTTTTGAGCTTCGTCCACACTCTATCTTGAAAAATGGTGACTTCCAAGTTTTTTTTTTTTGAGATCTAAATTGAAGGGACAATGTAGAAATATCTAAATGTTAGATTGGGCCCAAGCTTCACTTGCATTGTCTACTCATATTTGTCTCCCCAACGTTTGACCGTGTGGCGGAGATAGTCAACCATAACGTCTTCCTTTTCCATGTGGCGCAACTCGCCGCATTTTTAAAGGTGGGGGAAAATGATAAAGTCTGAACCGCGTTTAATGAAGACGACACAGTGACAAGTCTGACTCCGCCCATACGACCACCACGGACTGTCTCTTCGAGTGTGTCGGAACAAAAGGTTGTTCGAGTAACTAAACTGCCTGTGGGACGTCCTTTTTACATTGTCTACGATAGCCTGAGGTACAAAGTGGGGAGGAATGTGGGGATGGACGCACAAAGGGCTTTAAAAAGTACAGCTTGCTGGGGGCGTTTTGCTGGTTACCATCGATCATTGCCGATGTCTCCTGTAATGTCGCGTAAATTCTTGTGGAGCTACAGAAGAGCAGGAGCTTCGTTTACTCTTGACGAGGGTTTACAGGTCTGAACAAGATGAATCATACTCATGGAAAGAGCTCTCTAGATGGGTCGGAGCGCGAAATGCCCCCTCCCTCCCTCCGTCGCCGAAACTGCGCACGGTCCTGTTATAGCTCATCATCGTACTAGCTTTTCTCTTTCTACTCTTTTTCTTTCACCCCTATTCTTCTTTTTTCTTTTCCTTTACTCTTCTCCTTCTCCTTCCTTTCCTATCGAGGTTTATTCGAAAATGGTAAAGCTGGGAAATTGTCAAAGTTCCGGGTTTCTTCTATTGAATGGCGACTGGAAGAAGTTGAAATGTGTGGGCAGGTCTCTTGGGTAATATGTCGCGGATGCGTTTTTCCTCTTATCGTGTAGTGCAAAGCGACTCAATAAGCCTAATTTGAAGTAGTCCTTGGCTAGCGCTACGCACGCAGTCCAAAGGGCAGTCGCAGGAAGTGCGACAAACTTCAAACTGCAGTTTGTCGCTAGCTGTTCCACGATGTTGCCTCGTCGGCAATGCTTTGCCTATTTGATTAAAGCCATGTCATAAAGTTTTAATGAAATGCCTCTATTCTCGCTACTATCCAATCATTGGCCCTTTCGACCGCGAATAGTCGGCCCTCGGACGACAACGACGTCATTTGGCGTTTAGAATGCCGATTGGCTTCGTTTGTTGCCAGAGTGGCTCTTAGCGGGCCCCTCATAAGTAAGCTGTGGACAAGCCGTTTCGGCCGGTATGCTGTTCACACCCTCTGCGATCCCGCTGAACTCTCTGGGGTTTAAAGTTGTTTGATAGATCTATCAGATATTTCTTATTCAGTAGTATTATATTTGCTTGTTTCTATTCAGCTTGTTTATTTGTCTGTTCTAATACCAAGACTGTTGATTATTTTTTAATATTTTCTATTCACCAAGCAAAACTAGTAAAAACATTAAATACAACATAAATAATCAAAAGAATATTTAAAACTACAAATTGCGATCAAATGACTTTCTCATAATAGTGTCAAATTGTTCATCGTTTTTTTCACTATTGAGATTATTTCTTTACCCGCCCTATCTGTCAGCTAACTTAGCAATTTTTTATCATTTTTTCTGTTTTTTTAAAATTTAAACAAACAGAGATGCAGCTTTGGTTTGGGGGGGGGGGCGGACCGGTGTGGTACTTAGATGACCAAGCCAGGGCTGCTGCAGGCCACCTTGTGATGGATGATTTCGGAAAATGACTGCACCAAAGGGGCTGACACAAACAATTTCGATAGTTCCACAGTAATGCTACAAGTCTGACCGAAGTGAGCATTGCTAGTCACGCCGGTCCAGTCGAAGGAGTCCCTGAATATCCCCCCCCCCCAAAAGCGCGTACTAGCGCATAAAGATATTAAATTCTAATATGGATTTCATTGATGTGATGCTTTAAATTCTATTAGTGGTGTGCTATCATCTGCCATATTTCTTATTTAATTCGATTGGTTTATTAAAATGTCCTCTCTGTTATTCAACGTTGCGCTCTAATTCATCTTTACGTGAATTATTAATTATTTTTATTATTTCTATTTTCTTTCTGATATGTTAGAGGTTCGACTGGCAGTCTTTCTCTGTGGAATCTGTGAGTAAGTCAAGATGTTCATCCCTGAATATAAAGAGACAAAATGCCTTTTTTGCAGCTATGATACCATTACCATCTCCGACGTTTTACATACCTAGAGCTTTTCGCATGATTTTGGACCTTTTTTGGTATACGCCATGCTGAATCATTCCATTAAGATTATTTTCTACCTTTTGGATGCATAGCTCAAACAGTGAGATTACCTGGGCTTGAGTATGTAAACATGAAGGCTCTGGCCTCCAGAAGTCTCGTTGCGTAGCCCACCACTACTGTCACGACCGCTTTTAAGTCCTACATTTTGGAGAGAGTTTTGAGCCTCTTCAGCACGTCTACGTAAGAACTTCTTGTTGAATACCAATCTATTCTTTCTCTCTCTGATACGTACCCCCAAACACAATCTAGCCATCTTCCCAAATATTTCCAAATTTCTACTCTTCTTTTCCCTAGCGTTAGTCTCGCGCCGTCGCAAATTTCTACTACTCTGGAGTTTTTTTTCTCAATTCCTCCGCGTAGTTCTCGAAGAATTGCATACCCGCGAAAAGGGAGGGGATGTAGCGCACTTGAAACAGGAAAAAGCGAAAAAAGTAAGCCAATCACGACTACTTTTCCCCCAACGGCCAGGTACGGCCCTCACCTGCTGTGGATCCTCAGCGTACGACGTGCCCTGTCTTCGCGTAAGAAAGTGTGCCTAGAGAGGTGTTCGAGAGAGGAAGGGGTCAGCGTGGTCGATGAAGGTGAGCATGGAAGCCTAAGACAGACTGAACTCATCGTGAGCCTTGTCTTTGGCATTCCAGGCCCTACATGGTCCCTCTTCAAGGACCCAACTAGAGACGTCTGTATAGGGTATAAAAAGGCGCGATCATTTCTTGCAGTCGTTTTTCCTCACTCGAGCCTCTTCCACATAAAATTTATGGGCATCGATTTGCTAAACGTTATTAATATTTCATAGCCATTCGTCTGAATGGCGAGTCTCAAATTGGAATCGTTGACCTGCACAAGGTCAAATTATCGGGTGCTAAAACGAATTATTTCCGCTGTGAATAGATCCCATTTCATCGCGGACCTACCCATCCATACAACCGGCTGTCTGACGTTTTTCACCTGTCTATAATCGCATTCCCCTAGCCGACTAAATAAGCGTCCAGCTAGGACTGATGCACTTAGCGTTGCTGGTGAACCGCCAAACGCGCTAATTATGGGTGCTTTACACTAGACGACTACTGGACACATTGAATCAGTGGTGGTGAATGGCCAAAGCCGACCAGTCTCCCCGTCCAATACTCATTCTCGTTTGTCCAATTTACAGCTCAAGCGTTGCTCTGTTCCTTTGATTAGACCAGAGCTAACGTCATTTGCAGGAGAGCTTAGCCTGCTAGCTTCGACAGCCATATTGTCACGACCTTTATCCATTATTTTTTTGTTACTTTACAAAGTTGCTCTGCTCTGTGGGGTTTATTTTAACTTTCCAGGATAGAGAAATGATTTCAGTTCTTGCTTACGTTGACTCTCAAAACCGGGGCACGTCGTACGTTGGGGATACCGAGCAAGGGGGATGTGGGGGTTTTATTTTGTCACTGGAGAAAGGGTCGTATTTTCCTTTGAGCGTTGATTTTTCTCGGGTTTTACCGTTTCACATGCGCTTTCTGCTCTCCCTTCCCCACTTCCCCGCTGGGTTTTCCGCTCGTTTCGCGAGGCGATTTTTTCGCATTGCTCTCGACTATAATACCCCCGCACACTGTAGACCTCATTGAAAGCCCCGCCCCAGACGGCCGCACCCATTTTTTTTGCGGCGAACATAATTTACCTTTACGTTACACATATACTCTATAAATTTTTCATGCTCTGTTTTTTTTCAGAATTCACTATTTCATAAATGGCATAGTTGAATGGGTTTTCGTATGATGACGTACCTGAGTCCGCCTCCGACGACCCCACCCACTTATTAGAGAATTCGTTGAAAATTCTGCGGTATTTTAGTGCACTTTTCGACAGCAGTTTTTAGAGAAAACAATGAAGGAGTTTTTGAGGATAACTCCGTGAAAAGTGGAAGCGAAGCTTGGAAAAAGCCAGAGATGGTTAGAGCAGGTAGGATGGGTCAACCGGGGGGGGGGAAGGAAATCTTGAGGAGAGGGTCGTATTTCTCGAAAGCTTTCACTAACGGCAGGACGTATCCTGGTACATAAGCACTCCCATCCAAGTGTTATTACTTTGTTGTTATTTTGACAACTTTTCAGAATCTTTTGCTTAGATCATTTGAAAATCAGTTAATTGATTTATTTGAATTTCTTGTTCGAGGACCAAGTACGCTGACTACCTGGCTTTGATCTTAAGATTGTGACATTTCTTACCCATTTTTGAAATTGTTGGATTTTGAAAATTGCTTGCCATATTTTCCAATTTCCAACGTGCTCAAACGGTTTCCATGGGAGAACGGATCAATATATCGACTGATTGGCAGTTTCGTTGTTTAATAAATCAACTCGTAACTTTCCAGATGCCGTACCCTTAGGTCGTCGGATCCTACGACTGCATTGATCAAATACCCAACGACGGCGTCAATAGTACAGCATCCTAAAAGGTATCACTTTTGTTTCACATTGATTTATTGATCGCTCTTTATCGATTTCCCATGCTAGATGAGACTGGAGTCCAATTTGGTGGCTGAAAACGATCAGTCAACGACTCCTGAAATTTTGCTTTTTTTTTTTCAGAATTTCGTAGAATGTTCGTTTTCGGTTACAATGGTCCTTTTGAGAGTAGCCTACAGTAAAGTGAACTGAGTATTCGATCAGGAGATCAGATGCATTTATTGGTATTGGTTGACTTTGGTGAATAATTGTTGGAAGAGTATGAAGAAGCTCCGTCTCTCTGTAGTTCTTGCTTGAAACCCCAAGCAGAATGCGAAACAGCGGGACTATTTTTACTGATCGATATTATGTTTTTTAGGCGAACGCCAACGAAAGCTGTTACGAAAACATGAAACCGTCGTACACTACGCGGCGGCCGTCACCCTGCGCGTTATTTCTCGGTGGCGCACTTCTCGTAGCACTAATTATTATTGTTTTGTTATTATGTGAGTCATTTTATCATTTCCCCACTTGCTTATTCCTACGGTATCATTTCAATCAATAATCGATCGTACTCTGATTCAGTGCGAAGTCCTTCATATGTCTATGCACAGTTAACACCGTTATCGACGACTGATAGTCGAATATCGATCGACGAAAAATCCTTACGACCGTTGCCATCGGTGATTAGTCTAGGGCAACGAGTAGAAGCAGATATATTACCGCAGCACATGACAAATACGTAAGTGATCCGGCAGTCGATTGATTTTATTGGTTTTCTGAAATATCAGTTTGAGAGCTTCCAGTTAGAAGAGGGTCGCATATCGTTTGGATATGAAAAATGGTGAAATTACAACAGTTACAACCTTCTACAGATCTCGTTCTAAGATGCGCCACGCGTTTCAGTGTGGACCAGAGTTGTGGAGATATTTGAATGCTGTTTGGGCCATACAGTGAATTGTGGGGGCCAGTCGATGCCCCCACAACTCAACTGTATGTTTGGGCCATTCACGCATTCAGCCGGGGAATTTTTACTTTTGTGACATGTATGGGACCAGTAAACTGGCCCCGAAGGAATGGAAGGCTTCAAAGGAGCGGGCGTGATTTGACTACGAACAGTGCGAGTCCACTTCTTACCACCACTGTCTTGGCCCTCTTCCAGAAAATCTTAGGAAATCAGTAACTGAAGTATTGAACTCGTAGGGGGTCAATGATTTGTTCAACCAATAGCAAGGTGTTAGAGTTCACTCAGTTCTTGTCCTGTCACTATTAGCATTTCCTGAGAAGTCTAAGCTGTTGTGAGGTTCACCAGTGGCCCGGCTCAGTTTTCTGGATGGTTACTCAGTAATTAGTGGCTTTCCCGTCTCGGATCCATTTTGGTGGAGTTGTGTGTTCGCGGCATTGTTGATTGTGTACAACGGCGGTGAAAAAGGATGTTTGTTTGCTTTTCGCCGCATAGAATTCCAAATGAGATTCATTCAAAGTTTTGTCTACGAGGTCGGGTATTGCATTCATTTAGGCAAAGGCCAAGGAACACGTTTGAGAACATGGGCCTCCAATCAGGAACGTGGTAGTTGGAGAAACTTTGACGATGATTGTCGCGTTTGATCACTGGGAAAGGGGTCGTGCTTTCGTTAGCTGATAGGGTCCGCCATATTGAACCTGCTGGTAGAGAATCTTTGTCAGATTTGATTGTGCCTGCCTCAAAACCATGATTAACCAACATTGCGGGTACCGCCGTACTGCGCGCACGTCCTAATCAATTTACATATTTTTCTCGAAAAATCGATCAGTATTTTTCCTCTCATTTCAACGCTTTATGAGGGAGATGTATTGCATACCGAGACGTGTTTACGGGAGAGAAGAACAGAATATTGAAAGAATATTTCAACAATAATCAAATAAAGACAGCATCTAGAGCAAAATTCATGAACACACGCAATGTGTGTCACCGGTCCGGAACGTAGTGTTAAGACAATTCAGCCATCACAAGTAGTGGATTAGGGGTTTGCACATAGACGAAAAATTCTGAGTAATTCGATAGTGAAAAAGGCAGAAAAAATATGCCATATGCCCTCGATACAACCCCATTCTGATCTCAGTTTGTACGGGGCAACGAGAAAAGGAGACCACAGCCACTGTCCTACTCCCCCTTGTAGTGCCAGGCTAGCAGCTTCCTAGCTCCGCCAACTCGCGTTTGTGGATTTTTCAAAAAGGTGAGCTCAATACTGACGATGGCGCTTTCATTTTCATGCTCTTGTCGTCCTGCAGCTTCATTTTCCACTGGAAGGACACGCCTTGAAGGCGGAGTCTGGGGCGGAGTCACTGGAGAAAAGGAGGCGTTACTAAACCTATATTGCGCTAATAGCGCCCCTCGCCTTACCAATTTTGGTTGCGAAACCGGTACGAAGGTTGTTTGGTCGGGGAATCATACTGCCTTCACCGAGCTATGTTTTCGAGCATCTATACCTGAATCTCGAACTAGTGCCTTTAAGGGTAAGTTTAGCACCACTCAGCAGAGCCGTTCCCATCAGGCATCAGACACACCCATCATTCCAGTTGCGTACAGGCTTCAGATCGTTGCATCTGGGTCAGATACCTGCTAGTTCGTCCGTGTTGCCCTCCACTTCTGTAGAGTTCACTGCTTTTCAGTGTTGGCTCTCCGCTCTTCCCACTTTCAGTGATTAGCTCTCCATGATCTTTCCGTTCCCTTAAAACAAAGCAAGCTTTTGTAAACGCCTCGGACCAGTCCTACTCTTTTTCCCACTTTTCTCCCAGTTCAGCTGATATATAGCCCGAATTTGGAGTCGTTAGTTGCATCGGAAGTGTGGCCAGTGAGCAGAAAGAATGTGGGATGCGCTAATTGAATGGGTGTCGGGCAGTTTGAAAACGCTTAGTTACAAACGAGCCAGTGATCAAAGTTTTCTTTTTTTCTTGTCAGAAGGGATCAACGAAAGCACTGATTGCTGTCTTTTCTTTCAAGTTCTTCAAAGTTTTCAGAGAACTATTCATCACTCGAGCCGGCCGTGTCGCATTTAATGTCTCAGTTGGCGCTGGTGCTCAGATGGTACTGATGGGACGACATGCTGTTGCACCATCGCTGTCGTTACACGATTTTTATCATCCGCTGAGGGCTGATCGACTGACACCACCGTCACCGAGTCATAGCATTGAAACGACCAGGCATAAGCGACAAACTCCCACGGAAATGTTGGTGAGTGGGATCAGAGGGAGATTATGGTGTTTTCGGTTATTGGAAGAACCGTCCATTCATTCCTAGGAGATCTATGCAGGCATACACACCGTGCCCAGGAATGGGGAAGGCGTGGCTGCGTTTTCATGCGAACATGGCCTTTGGTATGCTTTCGCCTTTCTGGGACGGTAGTAGTCATGCTTTTGTCTCGGAAAAGAATGTGTGGAGTTGTTTCGAGTGGAAAACTACGAAAAACGCATCCACATTCCGAATGATTACGCAGCCACGCCCCTACAATTTTGCGGGATGTGGCTGTAGGTATCAGCTTCGACATTTGGGGCACGGCCATTAGGTCGCCGGGGCCAGGGCTCAACATGCTTCTGCGAAATAACCCCAGAAAACCACGAAACCCATGCTGAGAGACGATGGCATAGGTTCAAAGAAAACCGAATTCGGACATGCTTGTGAGGATAATTTGGTTTAGAGACAGATCCTGCGCAGAAATTTTAGAGACAGACCCTGCCTAGAAATCCTTCCTTATCCAAGTAGTCAGGTGCGTCATCGCAAAGGCGCCGTATATAAGTGCGACTTTCTACACCCGCAGCACCCCCGTCAGTCATTGAGGACCGCGAAAACGTTAAGGGAGGGGAAATCTTGCCGATTATGGACTGGATTCTTTGACCAAGGCGAATAAGTTACCGAGAATCAGGGGGGGGGTCTGTTTTTGAAGACCCAATCCCAAAGCTACCTGATGTGTTATGATCCCAGACGTTACATTGTCATCTCCACATTACGCACACTTTCAAAGGAGTCAGGAAAGGGTGGTAAATCTGACTCCGCCCAACCAGTAAGCGTGGACTGAGCCTTCAGAATGACCTTACACTCACATAAGGGTAAGCATAGTTGAAATGCGCAGACTCATGAGTGAAAAGAAGAGGACTCTTGGAAACAACCGGAAATGCGCGAAATCCGTTCAGTTTACTTTGACCTTTTACTGCGTTCGCCAATGCAGTTTATTGATCTTTCGGCATTTATTGATTTGTATTTAGGCTCCACGCTATGCTGTATTCGAACATTTTTTGATCGATGGACGATGGTACTTGACGGTGATCAATGAGCGGAATCGAGTGAGTTGTTAGTGGTAACACTGAATAAATAAGTAATAATGAGCCAGAAAAAACCGCGGAAGAAACAGTAACTATTGTTAACGAACCAGTTTTTATGAAAGTCGTTCCATCTAAAAATTAGCCAGAAGAATTTCACGCTTGCTCAGCTGTTGCAACGCTGGCCAATTACTCATGTTGAACTTCTTATATGAGATGATAGATGTGGCATCCTGAAAACTCCTTTCCAGAGAGTTGTTGAAAAATCAGTTCCAGCGCTAAATTCTGGGGACATCGTGGGAGTGAAAGTTTTTTAAAGACCGTGTTCTTGTTAATTTACAAGTATACTGCTCGCCCTTTGATTCGTAGCGCATTCTTTCCAAATAACAGTCTCGGTCAGCGGTCCGCGTTTGCCGTGTGGGCTGAGACGGTCAACCATTTGGATGCTACTCATTGGTGTTCAGAGAAGGGCGCCAATGAAAAAGCCTTAATGATTGACTCTCTCCACCCATACCAGCAGCGTTGACTGTGCCTTCGAGCTCCCTAAAATTCCCCCTTATCAATGATGAACCCCTATCTTGTCATTTTTGTTCTGCTTGTAGGTGGAACCAATCAGTCTGTTGGCATATTCAATCGCTGCTCCGACGTCATCATCAGCCGACGGTTCGAATCCATTAGCGATTCGATGCGAAGCTGATTGTAACGGTCATGGTGAATGCCTTCCCGGTGGACGATGCAGGTGTGCTTCTGGATATACCGGAGAAGCTTGCGAAGAACGTAAGTATTGCTTTGGTCGTGTTTACATTGTCTGGGAGTTGAATTTATTTGTTATTTTTATACAGCTGCTTTTGCAAGGTGCTGTTCACGTTGATGATGTGGGCGGAGACACCCAAGCATTGCGCCTTTTCTATTGGCTCACTCCTCTTTCTTGCTCGGATAAGGGGAGAGGTCGCCAATGAGGAAGTCACAATTGTTGAGTGTCTCCGCCCACTCAGCGAGTTGTGAGTTGTCGATGCACAGCCCTTGAAATTGGACCTTTTTTCGCTGTCTTTCTTGAAAAAAATCATATTTATTCTGTTTCCTTATGAAAAGTGTTTTTGGAGGGCCAATTGTTAGTAATTTTTCTGTTACTTTTCTTTTTTTCATATTTTATCAATGCCCCTTTCCAGCTGTTTGTCCGGTAGTTTGTAGTGGCAATGGAGTGTTCTCTGGTGGTGCATGTGTATGTCGAACTGGATTCAAGGGGAAAGGTGAGTTCGCTGGGAATTCAAGGACATTGAAGTCCTCCAAATGTGTACTGTATTGTACACTGTAATGCATACTGTAGGAATGCGATGTACATGCACACTGGTGTGAAATCCCCGACTGCAGCGGCCATGGACGGTGTGGTGACGAAGGCGTATGTCACTGTGAGAAGGGATGGACTGGAGAGGGCTGTGAATTGGTAAGCTTGTAGCGTTGTCTAGTCAAAAATGCATTCCATGTTAACTGAATGGGCGGAACCACGGCCGCCACTGTGTCTTGTTGCTTGATGCCCCTTTACTTTGTGGCTACAGTGAAGAGGTGGGCGATCTTTTTGCCGGTCTGTCGGCAAATCACAGTGGTGGTCTGACTCCGCCCCTTTGATCAACTGGACACTGCCAGTGGAAAGCACGATACGATATAGGAGAAGAAGACAGATTATATTTTTCAAGCGCGCGTGCTCCAATCCAACCTGTTCTGATCATGGCGTTTGCGTGAATGGCCAGTGCTACTGTGCAGATGGATGGCGAGGAGTAGAATGTGCTGAGGTAAGTACCGAAAGTCCCCCTCAATCAGCCTTCATGACATCATTTATTCAGCCAATCATGGATCCGACAGTTGCTACCGTACCAGCTACAGTAGTGGCTGCCTTGGTGCCAATGGTAGAAGTACTGCCATCTGCGAGTGAAAAACCCAGACAAATCAGTCGAGAATTGGATAGACAGAAGTTACCAAAGCCTAGTAAGGTAAGGTGCAATGGTTTTGCTTATGAGTATTTTCAAAGTACCGTCAGGATAAGTGTTGATGTCTCAATCGATAATTGACGTGACAGTTTGATCGATTACACTTCAGATATTTCTGCCGCCACCAAACTGTAACAATCATGGCAAATTTGTAGCTGATGCATGTGATTTCGTGGATGGGAAGGAAGGGACTGTGAAAGAGGTATCCGTCGTGCGCTTTCAATGGTACTGCTCACTTTCAATGACAAGATCGATAAATCAATACTTTCCAGAAGTGTGCCCACCATGTGAGCACGGTGTGTGTAAGTTCGGTCTGTGTCAATGCGAAACGGGATGGTCTGGAAGCCTGTGTGATCAAGCTGATTGTGCCATAGGTATGAAATTTAACTCTTCTTCAATATCATTCAACACTGGAGGAAAGGTTCTTTGTTGGTGCCCTCCCAGAACCCCGTGATTATTTGTCCCTGGCTTGCGCTCTTTCAGTTTAATTTACCAGTTAAGGTTGTCAAGAGCACGGTAAATGCCTGAAAAATGGAACATGCTCGTGTGATAAAGGCTGGAATGGGGAGAATTGTCATATGGGTGAGTTCTTTTTTTGCCTTCAGTCTCCAAGAGAAATAACAACTAAGCTTACCACGACTTCATGTTTTTTGTATAATCAAAAATAGTGAAAGAGAAGTACGAATTGATCGGCTTTTATGCTGAAATAATGTCCATATTTCTAGGGTTTGTTTCCTGCCACTCTTTTGGGCTCAGTTGGGCTTGGTGGTGCACCGAATGGTACCTAACATAGGTTGTGCAGGCCACCTGTTAGACCTGTAAACTCGTCAAGGCGAATTAGGTCACCCAAACACATTTGCGCTTACTACAAGTGTTATTTAATATGACAACATAAGGGAATTAGCGAAAATGCCCCTTCTGAAGCGAACAGTGCCCTCCTTTACTCTGTCGCTGTCCTTTTTTCCTCTTTCGCCTCGACTTTGAGTGAAATAGTCGTTAAAATGAATCACATTTCGCCCCCTCACATTTGTCCCCATAAAAAATGGAGTTTTTACTAGCTTCAAGGTTTTCGCCCTGGTTCCCTGGGCTGTGGTTGAATGGGTGCTTTTTAGAACCCATCATCGTTCAGCCACCTGTAGCTGGTCGCAGGAATAGAAAGGAAGCTCTGCCGTTGGTCATTCTTCTGTCACTTCGGGACTGACTGAATTGAAAAATAAAATAAATTAAAAGAATAAAGATTCAAAAAAAGCAATTTACTAGTATCCAGGGGTAGTTAGGTATCTTCTTTGTTGCAAAACGAGATGTGTCTCTGTAGTAGAAGTCGTTTTCGATACAGACGCTGTAGCGTGTCAGGGTTGAATTTGGCGCGGCGCCAGCTGGTGTGCCACCAGTTGTTTCCACTAAAGAAATTGGTGCAGAAGGAGCTGACGCAGTACCGAACCCAGCCTCCGTGATACACTCCAGCGTTTGCAGCGGGAACGGCTATACCTCTTCTTCTTATACTCCTTGCGATCGCTTCTTATACTTCAAAAGATTTTTTATAGAAGGATGCCCTCTGTCATGTTCCGGTCATGGTGAGTGTCGCTGGAGTTCGCTACCAGAAGAAAATGGCGAAGGATGGCGATGTGATTGCCAACCATCATTTACCGGCGACGACTGTGCTGTACCGGTGGAGGCAGATTGCCAGGATGGGCTCGATAATGACAATGGTGAGCATTGTTAGTGAAATATCGACCACTGACTAAAGGTTATGGTCCAAGAAATTTGGTCCAACACAGTAGGGTTTAAGTGCTGCAATCACCCAATCGTTTGCAGTATATTGGAAGTGTATCTAGCTCATCTACTTTTTTGGGACTTTTTCCTAACTTTAGGACCATTATCAAACCTTTTCAGATGGCCTAATCGATTGTGATGATCCTGAGTGCTGCTCGTCATCAGAATGTTCACGCGAGAACCCGTGTGTGCTACTGTGCCCACTCCTGTTGATGTACTGCTGCGGTTAACGCTGACGGCGTTTCAGAACGCCAATCTTTCAGGTGAAGATTTCTTAGGTTTCATAATTGTCACTCAAGTCCCTGACCGCGGCTGGGATGAGTTCATCGACTCTTGGTGTAGCAAAAAAATGAAAGTGGAATGAGCAAAGTACATGGAACACTTTAGAGCTCTTTGCAACTTACTCTGACTTCGATGTTGTTTGCTACTAGTTTGTTTATTTACACTCGAATCTCATGTTTTAGCGCGTCTCGTTCATCATTCGGAACGATTCTGTCCAGAGTTACTCGGATCACTCGCAGTTCAATGAGAGGTGAGGGAAACTGTTTCGTGAAGCTTTCTCCTCTCTGAGATTTCTTCGCAGGTGGTTCTGGTAGTGCGAGGGGTAAGAAATGTTCTCGGATAGTGTAAATGCGGGTTTGAATTTCACGAGTATGTTATGCGCATAACACAGGAAGGACCCTTGAGTAACACCGATTGGTAAACAAAATAAGTGATGCATAAATATAAAAGATGTAGTGAAAATGGGTGAATTCAAATTCAAGCGTATCTGCTCTCATTAGGCCAATCGAAACCGAGCAATTGATAGAAAAATGTTTAGGAAATTCTTCTGGAAACGATTTGGATCGGGTCTGAACGTACTCCGCAAACCATTTTCTTTTCGACTTGCTTCCTTTTTAGGTTCTTGTCTTGGGAATTCAATAGCCCTTGTCTCTTGCCCTTAGATTCCTTCAAAACTTTTTAGTCGTTTTGCCAGACAGAGCAGAGTTGCCGTGATTCTTCACTCCTTATTGACGAGGTCTTTATTGGATGTTGTGCGGTGGCGATGATCGGATTAGAGAATGTCGAATTTGCATAGCGAGTTGCTGGAAATGAGGT